AATGGCCTCCGGCGGCGGGATCGTTGTTTGACCCTTAGTGGTCTGAAAGTACGCCCCCCTGAGCATGTCCGTCTCTGTGGCCAGAGCATGAAGCTCAGAATATGTCTGTCTTTGTCTGTCTGTACTCAGATTATGAAGCTCCTTGCAGACACCCCGATGCGTGGTCAGATGATGAGACCTCCTACAGACCAACCCTGGTAAAGAAATCAGACCCCCTTTCATCTGGCTGAAATATAAGGCATCCTGCACTGCGGTGTGATAATCCCGACCTCCCCGAGCATCTTAAGGAATTCCCAAGGCATCCTAGGGCATACACAACGATTCCCAAGGACATCCTGAGGATGTTTAGCGGATTCCTCAAGGCCATCTTGTGGTTTCCAAAGGGTGCCTAAAGATCCCGATAGACTCTGGAGGATGTCGTACGGCATTCCGAAGGTTGTCCTGTTGAACCCCACGGGATTTGCAAGGAATCCTTCGGACATATGTCCGTAGGATACCGTGGGAGATCTTAAGATTCTCCAGTGCGTCTCCAACGATTCTGGGGGACATCCTTGGGAAGCCCATCAGCTTCCTTACAACCTCCTTCGGATGCTTTAAGGCATTTGGGGCGTATCCTTAGAACATCGTTCGGGCTCCATAGAAATCTTCAGTTTGCCTTGCGCACCCTGAAGGGACCCTGAAGACTCCGTAGGAATAATCAGGGTATGCGCCGTGTGATAATGCTATTCTCCCTTATCGCACCAACCCCACATAACCTATTGCAACATCGATGTCCATATAATGCCCCCCCCAATTGGGGCGTCGGAGTGTTATCCCGCCGTGTCGGGCTTCGCTCGGAGGCCAAGAACAATAGACGAATGCTTTGACATTGCACGAGGGAAACAACGACTTCGTCAAGATGCTGCTGGGACTGCCAACGAGCCACACATATTTCCAAAAGGATGGTCTATCTCAACTGAAGGATTCCGAATGGTTTACTATGATTTTTTGACTCATCTCCCAAGTACTGTCATGATGTCTTGAGAACTTCCTACAGACCCCACGAATATTCCTGATGATCTCCTTGGGCACCCTAAGGATGCCGACGGAATACCAAGCACATCCGAATCATTTCGCCAGGAGCTATCGATTCGCAGGGGCGGCACCACTGTTATTTGATTTGCAGTTCGGTGCTTAACGGTGTCGTCAGGAGAAACAAAACCGCCACCCTGATTAAGAATGTAAATGTAATGCAAACCCGATATGGCAAAATCCTGCTTTCAAAGCTTCCCAATTTCTGATTTGTCTGTCAAACCTTCCGACGGCTCCAGATGATCCCCGATGCTGCTCAATGCGGCCCCGAGGGGGCTTTCAACACGGTTCCAAAACGTTCCGAGAATTCCTTGAGGCGGGCCAGAAGCGCTCCAAGACGACGTCAATAGCCTCCCAAGCATCCCCAATATGGCTCAACCACCAAGCATCTCCAAGAGATCTCGGTAGAACCATCGTGCCGAGAGCGCATCCGGGACGCCCACTGGGCACTAAGCGAGCCCCGAACGGGCCCCGAAGAGGGCACCCGAGAGGCTCCAAAGAAGCCCCCAGACGCCTCCAATATTGAGGACGGCAGTGAGGCTGCTGACAACGAGTGTGTTTAGGACCTGCGCTCATTCGTTTGTACAGTCGAAGCAAGATCAGAATAACGCGGATCAAGAACATGGGCCCCTTCGCCGAGAGCGCAAGGCCCCATTCCGATATCCAAAAAGAAGACAAGTCGAAGGTGGAGAGCCCAATGGCGAGGATACCCCTCCAAAACTATGCTCCGCGGCTGTCCCCCGCTGGGGCGCCCTGGCGCTTTCGCCTCGGCGCGGGAGCCCGCGGCGGCAACGCCGTCGCCGTCGCCGTCGCCGTCGCCGTCGCCGTCGCCGTCGCCGTCGCCGTCGCCGCCGTCGCCGTCGTCGTCGTCGTCGTCGTCGTCGTCGTCGTCGTCGTCGTCGTCGTGGTCGTCGTCGTCATTGTGGCGTCGTCGTCGTCGTCGTCGTCGTCGTGGTCGTCGTCGTCGTCGTCGTCGTCCTCCTCCTCTTTCTCCTCCTCGTTCTTCCCCCTTCTCTTCCCTCCTCCTGCCTCCTCCTCGTCCTTCTCCTGCTCCCTCCTCTTCTTCCCCCTCTCCCCGAGGCCCAGAAGCGCAGCCCACAGAGGGTCCAGCCCGCAAAGGCCCCAGCCCACAGTAGCCCCTGCAACGGCTACAGCCTCATACTTCCTCACAATTTATTTCCAAATCGCGCTCTCGCGCGGGACTTCCTCAGAATCTATGCAGGAATCGCGCTCTCGCGTGGGACGTCCTCGCATTTTTTTCAGACGCCGCGCCCTCGACACTCAGGAATCATGCTTTCGCTGTGGATTTCCTTACGATTTGCTTGGGAATCGCGCTGTCGCTCGAAAGTCTCTCGCGATTCATGCAGGGCGCACGCTTCAGCAACCCGCCTGCTCGACCTGGCCACCTGGGCCCGCCTTCCCGACCCGCCTGTTATGGTCTATCCACCCTGTCTGCCCGTCTGGCTCTGCCATGTGTTTTCTGCTCCTCGCCCCCCTTCTGCTACTCTCTCTCGTGCTCCATCCTCCTCCTACTTCCCCCTTGTCCCTTCCTTCCATCCGTCCTCTCTTCCCCTGCCTCACGGGCTGCACGAAATACACGTTACAGGTAAGGAAGATATACCTCCAAGGGGGTACGATCGAAGACGAAGAGGGCGGATATCGAGGATTTGGGATATACGTGTTGAGGTGGCACGCGAGCAGATAAGAACGATCAATCTTAAAGTGATTGTTGCTCTTGTTCTTCTTCTTCTTCTTCCTCCTCTCCTTCTCCTCCCCGGCAACCTTCCACCTGCTCCTTCCGCCTCCGCCTCCTCCCCCCGAAACATTGGAACTCCTCCTAGTCGGCTCTCGCGGGGCAGGCCGACGCCTGCATGGTGGCGAGCAGCGATATGGCCTTCTGCCAGAGGCCGGCCTGCGGGGACTTGGGGGAAGGGGGTGCGTAGGCCATTAGGCGGCGAGCCCCGGAGGGAGTGAGATGGGCAGGCCTTCTCAGAAGGCGGCGGAGCTTCTCAGGAGCCCTCTGGCCTTCCGAGGAGAGTGTATACGTCTTCGGAAAAGGCTTCAGAGACTTCTCAGAAGGCTGGAAGCCCTTCGAGCCTTTCGAAAAAGCCCGCCCCTTCTCACTTCCCCCCCCCGGCTCACCGCCGAAAAGTGGAGGAGGAGGGGGAGGACACGAGGGCGGAAGGCGAGGAAGAAACACATGGCAAACATGTGCTCCTCCGTCCGTTCCGTCTTGGAGCAGCGCCCCGCCTCCTCCCACTCCCGCCCCCTCGTTCTCCCTCCATCCCTCGGCCGAAAGGCAGACAGCAGCACATCGCGCCCAGGCGCGCCTGCGGACGCCCGCCCGCCTCTGCGCGTGCCCGCGCGCGCAGAGTTGGCTGCGCGCGCAAGAGCAAAGAAGGGCTGGATGGGCGATCGTCTCGAGGCCCATGCGGCCCATGGCCTTCCGAGGGGCGGGTTGCCTTCTTTTTGAGTGCTGCCCCTCCGCTCTGCCCCCCTTGTGAGCGCGTGCGGGTGCACGGACGCGTGCTCGCGCGTGCGCGCGCGTGTGTGTGTGTGTGTGGTGTTCGCGCGCAAGGAGGGAAACGCCGCACATGTAACAGAAGAATGGGTCTGCACCTCCAGGGCTGCCGCAAACCAGCGAATACATAGGTAACATTAGATCGCCCTGCTGACTTCACGATCCGTCGCGAAAGAAAAGCAATGGGCCCACGCTCCCGAACCACGGACATTTCGCACACAACAAGAACACATAAACAAACAGTATGCGTTCCACATACCACGACCCCTCATACAGAAATATGCCCGCGCACCCAAGGCCACGATCCCGGATAACAACTTGAACCGAGCTCCTGAAGCCACGACCACTGATACAAACAATCGAACCATGCTCCTGATGTTACGATCCTTGGTATCAACAATTGGCCTGTGCTGCCGAGGGTCAGTCACTCGACGCACAAACTAAGGAGCCGTTCTCCCAATGCCACGATCACGTGTGAACGTATCGCTGGGTCGTCACTTCCGCGGCCGTTATCCATACCCGACGACAGCGGATCTGTGAGTCCAAAACCACACCGCCTCGCAACAGACAAAACAACCTAACAAATAACCGTCAGACCATATAGCTTGGCAGCCAGCAAACAAGCCAGCCATCCAACTGGCATTAGGTCGGGCCTGTCCCCCTACAGGCAGATTTTGGACGACAAATAAAACATACTCGAAAAATTGTCGAACAATGCTCAAAAATACTAAAAAAATGGTCCCCAAACTATTTTTGGAGTATCTTTGAATTTTCCTCCTGTAGAGGGACAGGCCCGACTTGAAACTGGCAAGCCAACCAGTCCATCAACCAGCCATGCAACCAGGGAGCCACCAAGCCGGCCAGCCAACCAGGAAGGGGGGCTGTGGCAGGGTCCGAAATTCTTTAGACCCGCGGCCTATGTGGTTTACCACATGGGTGCTTCGCGTGCTGGACGATCTGTACCCCTCAGGCCCTCCGCCCTGTGACCCAGGCCTCCCCAGTATGTCTCGAAACAGTGCTGCTCCCCCGAATCCACACAACACGCCTCCATGCTCCCACCTCGACGGCACAAAAGGATTCACCAAATAGACGTCTTTGGCAGACTTCCACGTCAATCGCATCCCCGATCCAGACAACCTCGAATGATACCATTTTTCGGTGCGGAGATCCCCAGCTGTGAATCTCGGCTCCGGGTACTGCCAGCTGTGAGTGTCTGGGTGAGAGAGCCTTAACTGGTGGCGGCTGCACGCTCCCTGGTGAGCGTTTTTTCTTACTTTCGGCGTTTCGACATTGGGCGGAAGGGGGGGGGAGGGGGGGGGCCCTGGCTCCGGACCTCTGCTTAATGCGGCTGTTTGGAACCGTGCGTCCCATGGGGGAGGGACCCCACCTGCTCGAAGCAGGCGCCAAAAACAGCCAACATCTGCTCCATGGGGGGGGGGGAGGGTTGGGGCGAGGGCCCGCGCCGATCGGCAAAACAATGAATGAAAAAACGCTCACCTGGCGGCTCCCCCATGGAGTGCCCAAGTGCCCTGAACGCTACGTCGGGGTGACCTCGGGAACTTGCAGGGGGAGGAGGGCGGGGGGTGCCCAGACCACGCGTTTCGCTCCAGACGTCCCCACGACCTGCTGCGCGAAGGGGCACCCGTAACACCCCTCGGTGGCTCCACCTCGGGGTGCCCCGGTGCTGTGACTGCTACATCGCGGTGATCCTGGGGCTCTGAAAGGAGAGGGGGCGGGGCTGCCAACCAACGTTAAGCTTAAGTCGGGCCTGTCCCTCTACGGGAGGAACATTCAAAAATAGTTTTAAAATAGTCCGGGGACGATTTTTGGATTATTTTTGAAGGTCTTTGGAGTATTTGTTGAGTATTCTGTATTTTTCGTCCAAGATCCGCCTGTAGGGGGACACGCCCGACCTAACGTGAAGCCTCCCCGCCACCCAGGAGCCTGCGGCGCCACACGCCAAGTCTCCACGGCTTCGAAAAGCTTCAACGGGGGTTTCACCCGTATCATCCCGCTCTCGTTGACGCCGATTCGCGCGCTCAACATGTTGCAACCACGCACCACCATCGCCGCCATCACCATCATTCCTGCCATCCTGGTCGCTATCGCTGCGATTACTCTATTCACTCTCGTTCGGAAAGAACACAGAACGAGTGTGGATGTCACCACTCTCTCCCGTCTGAGAGGGCGCTCCAAGAGACCCCAGGGGGCATTCCAAGAGACCCCGAGCACTGTATCGACTGCCCGCCGACGCCTAGGTAAGAAGGCTTTGGCCCCTCGAGCTCCGCAAAACCCTTACACCCCTGGAGCTCCAGCGGCGTGGATTGGGGGATGATCCTCTCGGCCAGGGAGTCGCTCCTCCCCCCCCCGCCGCCACAGCCGCGTGCCGTGCTCCTCCCAGGGCGCCTTGTAGCAACCGTACGCGGCTATGCCGAACGCGAGCGCGTCGCGCGCCAGCTCCGGCACCTGCGCTCGGGTGCGCCAGCAGGGTAGTCCCTAAACGTGGTGGTGACAACACCTGGCGGTGAGTCTCGGGCGATTTGGTGTCACCGAGGATGTCCCGAACGTTGGTGGGTCCAGGAGTCACAAAACCCGGCGGTGACCCCGCGTCCCCAAACCCAGCGGTGACCTTTTTGTGGATTCCAGGTCGCCACCTGGTATCTCACCACCCGGTTTGGGGGTTCCCAAAGCGGGAGCAGACTCGCCCGGATGGCGAGAGAGATCCCTCGGTCTAGAGACCGAAGTGAGGTCAAGCCCGGGTCCTGGGCACCCGCGCGAGAGGTCAGAGGGATCATGCAGCGGCGGTCTCTGCGGACCAAGCGCCTCAGAACGCGGGGGTCCTTTTGCCATCACGGCCAGAATCGGCCGCTCCGCCTGCTTCTTCAGTCGTCAAGGGCGTCACAGCTTCTGCTGTCCCTCGACTCGCGCTGGAGCCTCCACGATTTCTCCAGATTCCACATTCAATACTTGCACTTAACTTTCGCCACATAGCTTGCACGGCACAGCTTACATCGTATAAGTTACACATAGCTAGCTAGCATCATATAGCTTACACCCCATAGGTGCCACCTCCAGTTCGCATCGCCTAAAATGGGTTACACCACGCAACTTTCACCACATAGTTCTCTCCTCCATATTTCACACCACATAGCTTACACGGCATAACTTCCGTCGAATAGCTTACACCGCATAGCTTCCATCTCCACGGAGCAATAACGCACTGTTTGGGATCCCCGCTGTCTAACACTTGTTCGCAATATCTGGATTTACCTCGTGGCTTGGTCCCTGTAAGTCGGTTTGACAAGAGTCGTCAGGCCTCAGCCACCTGCTCTCGTTCCTCCCCCTGCTATTTTCTGCTGCTCGCCGCCGTCCTCGTCCTCGCCCTCCACCACCACTTTCACCTCCTCCTCCTCCTCCTCCTCCTCCTCTCCTCCTCCTCCTCCTCCTCCTCCTCCTCCTCCCTCCTCCTCCTCCTCCTCCTCCTCCTCCTCCTCCTCCTCCCCCTCCTCCTCCTACTCCCCCTCCTCTCCTCCTCCTCCTCCTCCTCCTCCTCCTCCTCCTCCTCCTCCTCCTCCTCCTCCTCCTCCTCCTCCTCTCCTCCCCCCCTCCTCCTCCTACTCCCCCCCTCCTCCTCCTCCTCCTCCTCCTCCTCCTCCTCCTCCTCCTCCTCCTCTCCCTCCTCCTCCTCCTCCTCCTCCTCCTCCTCCTCCTCCTCTCCTCCTCCTCCTCCTCCTCCTCCTCTCCTCCTCCTCCTCCCCTCCTCCTCCTCCTCCTCCTTCGCCTCCTCCTCCTCCTCTCCTCCTCCTCCTCCTCCTCCTCCTCCTCCTCCTCCTCCTCTTCTGCCTTTGCGAAGTCGAAGGGGGGGGGGTGCACCCCGCCCTCTTCTCCTCTCCCTTCTCTTCCGATGGCCCAGGGGCCTGACGAGGCACCCCGAGGCCGACAGTGGTGAAGAACCTCCGGTCGCGCCACGGGTCTTGCTTCTGGGTACACATGTGGCTGAGCGGAGAGCTGGGTACACATGTGGCCAGATGCCTTTCCAGTCCTCGGTCCTTCTACGGCTGTGTACGCATCGCTTCCGCACGTGCACCCATCGTGCGATCTCTGGGCGCCTCTTCGCGACGCGACCATGCCTGGGTCTTGCTCCCGCGCGCCACGGGAACCGGCGGATGCGCCGCTGCAGGGGGCGAGAGCCGCCGCCCCCTTGAGGCCGGCCGCGGGCGCCGCCGGGGAGAGCTTCGCCCCGCGCCCCTCGCAGCTTTGTGCTCGCGCTCTGCCGAAAGATGCCCTGCCCCCTGCGAGATGAAGGCAGGATTTGAGGCTCAAGCTCGGACCCAGAGCCCCTCGCGTCGGTCGTTTCTTGCTGTTTTCGGCCTGCTGGGGCACCTACTGGGCCGTCAGTAATGAATCAGAACGAGAAGCCGCTCCTCGGGGAAGGGTCCAGACCTATGGGGGTCCACGCTACGAGCAAATCGCGACCTGGGGGGGTCTGAGGATGAGGGTAGGGCGGGGGTCTCTGAGAGCCGGCGGGCCTAGAGGCCGTACCGGGCGCCGCGGCCGTTCCACTGGAAAGCTCCGAGAGCGTTCCCCAACGCTCTGGAGTGATTTGCCCCTGTCCCAGGCCTGCCTAACCTTCTGCGGAGGCAAATCCTGACAGGTCTTCGTGGAGACGCTTGAGCATAGCATCATGTGTCCGGATCGCTGGGCCATGAGGCCGAATGGAACCAGATCAGGCTATAGAGAAGGCTGGACTGAGCCCGATCAAGCGGGACTCAGACGGGTTGCTATGCCGGCTTTCTGCCACGCGAGCCCCATCGCCGAAGAGAGCTGAAAACCGCCCTTCGACCTGCCTTGGCCCGCGGATCGGAGCAGCAGCGGGGCGGGCAGCGCGCGCCTTCGACGCGCTCGCGCTCTCGAGCAGGGCGAGGGAAGTCTCCCAGGCCTTGGCGCTGCCGCACGCCATCATGGCGATGTTGTAGGACTCCCTGCCGGGGTGGAGGCGCCCTGACCTCCAAAGTATTGGTTCTCGATTATATTTTTTCGGCATCGGGGGGCCCTCTCTGGGTAAGACGAAGCCAAGACGAGGATAACATCGGGTGAGGACGAATCGGGAATCTCTGAGATGCGGCGGCTCTGGAAGATGACTGGGGCGCCGCGGCCTTCTCAGAGCGTTCCGGAACGCTCTGGAAAGGATTTATCCTCGTCCTGGCCCCGTCCGAAGGTGCCCAGACCTCCGAAGCATTTGTTCTCGATTCTCCTATTCTCGGCATCTAGGGGCCCCTCTCTGGGGTGCGGGACCGTCGACAGAACGACTCAAAATGAGAAACTGCCTCGGGGAAAGGGTCCGGACTTCGGGGGACCATGTATCGAACAAGTCGATACGTCGGATCTCTGTGGGGAGAGAAAAAAAAAGGGAAGGAGTGGGAGAGGGAGGATCATGGTAAAGAGGGAGAGGAAGACAGCGATGATGACGAGGAGGGATCGGAGGGAAAAGAGAGGGGAGGAGGGAGATAACGGGGAGGAGCAGAAGGAGCATGCTTGGGGGAGCAGCGGTACACGCTCGGATTGACTGTGGAGCAACCTGGGGTAAAGAGGGAGGACGAAAGGGAGGAGTGGGGAGGACTGCCAGCGGCGATGGGGAGGAGAGGGAGGAATCTACATTCCGCAGACAGTGCTTGCCCTCAGGGCTTCTTGCTTGTTTATCATAAGGAGCTGGGCGTGTCTGGCGGTCTGGCGGCTCTGTAGTCGCCGTCGCGACTACGTCGCCGCCTGGATTGCACAAGATATATTCTGCTTTCCAAAAAAATCAATTCTACCACCCTCCCCCCCGGACTTAAAGACTCACCGGGAACTAGTTCAAAACACAAATAATTTTGACCCAATGTCCGTCCTACCTCTGAATTCATACTATCCCAGCCAAGCCGGTATCGCCCCCCCGCCATCCTCTGCAACAGATACTATACGGGCGCACTCGTTTATCACAAGTCATAAGATGTTAAGAAGCCCTCGCAAACAAATTACCCTGTGACGCACCCAACCCATTTGTATCAATGGAAACGAAGAGTTGGCCGAACCTTGTATGGACAATCAACTTGATGTGTAAGCTACTTGGCAGGCGTCACTGTGCTGGGCCCCGCAAGCAGGCCTCGAAAGTGGCGACAGTATCACAGATCGCACCCCCCCAGGGATGGCGAGGTCCCATTTGAATCTGCGTGTGGCGTCACTGTGCTGGGCCCTCCAGCAGGCCGCGAAAGTGGCGACAGTTTCACAGATCGCAGCCCCCCAGGGATGGCGAGGTCTAACTTGAATCCGCCGTGGGTACCCACTGTGCTGGGCGCGCAAAACGTTTCCGCAGCAGTACCTTGAGGCGTGCGAGGAGAACTAGCCGCAAAACATCGCTATTTTCTTTCCTAACACACCCGCCAACAAACACTGCTATTTTCCAACATATCTAAAATTTCCGCAACAATCCCCAGGCGGGCCCGCAAGGTTGCGGGAATCTTCGAAATCGTAGAAATCTTAGACAATAGCACTCTTTGGTGGCCAACTGCCTTCGGAAACCTCAGGAATCTGAGAACATAGCAGCGTTTGGTTGCCATTCTGTGTTGCTGTGTGCATTCGGCGTCACGCGGTTGCATTCGAATCGCTATCACTTCTACCCGAAGCGGCTGCAATCATATAGGTTGCAATTGTTTGCGGCGCGTTGCAATCCAATCGGCTGCATTGCACTCGATTGCAGCCTTCCTCCTCCTCCTCCTCATCTTCCTCATCCACATACGCCTCATTTTCCTCCTTTCGAAGGTTTCACTCGGAATCCTTCTGTGGAGTATTCCACTAGGAATCTTTTTGTGCAGGATTACACTCGGAATCATTAGGTGGACGATCTCACTCGAGATCTTTACGTTCTATATTCAGGATTTCAATGGGGGTCCTTCTGTCGAGGATTTCAGAACGAATCCTTGTGTTGAGAATTCCATTAGAAATCCTTCTGTGGAGGATTTTAATAGGAATCCTTATGTTGAGGATTTCCTCCGTCCTCCTCCACATCATTGTCCTCCTCCTCCTCCTCCTCCTCATCCCCCTTCCTGTGAGGCGTTTCAGTAGGAACCCTTCGGTAGATAATTTAAGTAAGGCTCCTTATGTGGAGGATTTCCGTCGGAATACTTCTTTAGGAATCCTTCTTGTGCAGGATTTCAATGGGAATCCTTCTGTCTGTTGTGGATTTCAATAGAAATCCTTTTTGTGGACGGTTCTAATACGAATCGTTCTGCTGGTGATTTCTGTAAGGATCCTTGCGTCGAGGACAACAGGAATCGTTCCACTGAAACCGAGGGAGATTGCGAACGACAGCGAAAACGATGTCAAGGATTTCCGTAGGACTTCTTGTGTGAAGGATTTCCATCGGGATGTTCCCATTGAAGACTTCAATAGGAACCCTTCTGTGAAGGATTCAACATGTGTCTCCTTGTGCAAGGTTTCGATAAGAATCCAAACCTCCTCCTCGCCCTCATCCGCCTCCTATTCCTCCTCCTCCTCCTCCTCCTCATCTGCCTCATCCTCCTTCCTGCGAGGGGTTCTAATAAGAATCCTTGTGGATGATTACAACAAGAACCTTTCTTGTGGAGGGGTTCAGCCGGAATCCTTTTGTGGAGGATTTCACTCGGAACCCTCCTTGTGGAGGGTTCCGATCGGAACCATTCGGTGTAGGATTCACTTGGAATCCTTCCTGTAGCAGATGTCTTCCATATTTCAAAAGGTGGCTCCCTGCAAAGAACGATTACCATTGCAGTCGCCACAAAAGAATTCCAAGTCAAACCGCCACAAAAGGATTCCTATTGCAATCCTCCGCAGAGAGATTCCCATTCAAAACCGTCAAGCCCTCAACATAAGGATTCCTACTGAAACCATCCAGAAGGAGGATTCCTAGCCAAACCGTCCACATAAGGATTTCTATTCGATCCCTCCACAGCAAGATTCGAATTGAAAGCGTTCACAGAAGGATTCCAAATGGCTTTCCACAGCCTGGATCATTCTTGAAGTCCTCCACGTAGTGATTCCTAGTCAAATCGCCACGGAAGGATTCCAATTCAACCCATCATTCACTTTGAAACCCTTCACAAAAGGATTCTCAATAGTGTTCTTGTTTGACTCCTTGAAAGAATGAGTCCTGTTTAACTCGCCACAGCGGGTTTCCAATACAAACCCTTCACATAAGGATTCTTGCTGAAATCCTCCAGCGGAGAATTCCCATTCAAACCATCCATAGGAGATTCTCATTGAAATCCTACAAATAAGGGTTCCTTTCCAAACCATCCACAGAACGATTCCTGTTGAATTCCTCCACTGAGGAAGGATCCCTTCTGAACTGCACGTAAGTTTTTTGAAGTGAACTCCTCCACATCATGATTTCATGATTCCTGTTGGAACCCTCCACAGAAGGATTCCTAGTCAAGTCCTCCGCGGTTCGAAGCGATATGTATGATCTCTTTATTGCGCACCGCATACATTGCACCACGTGTGTTGCACCACATCGATTGCACAACCTAGATTGGACCACGTCGATTGCAGCGCATCTGCTGCACCATGCATGTATGCATATATACTTATATATGTACGTACATATATATATATATGTATAGATTGTTCTATACATCGCGCACACCTTTTTTGCACAACCTAGGCCGTGCCACATATATACATATATATGTATGTATGTATGTATGTATATATATATATATATATATATATATATTATATATGTATATTTATTTAAATAAATTCGAATTAGGCCTTGTGGGTTTGCGTGGGCCCCCGGCTCCCCGAGCCTCCCGGGGGCTCCAAAACGGCACCGGAAGGCCCCCGGAGGGGTCCGAAACGGCGTCGGAGTTCCCCAGAAAAACCCAAGACGGCTTACGGAGGCCCCGAGACGACCCAAGACGGCTTTCAGGCGGCCCAAGATGTTCTCCAGACGGCCCCATACGCCCCAAAGACGCCCCCGGACGGCTCCGGGGGGGTCCGAGGGCTCCCCCAGGAGGGCTCCATCAAGCAAAAATGGCTACATTCCCTTCGTAAAATGCACATTCTCAACAGATTCGACATTTTCCTTTACGACGCACAGGATTGTTGGGACAAATCCAATTGAAATCGGCTGAGAAAGGAATCCTATTGAGATCGGCTGCGCAAGGAATCCTACTGAAACCCTTACCAAATAATTCATATTGCAATCGTACTCGAAAGGAACCCTATTGAAATCAGCTGCGAAAGGAATCCTGTTGAAATCCTTGCAAAGATAATTCCTTTGAAATCGGTTACGAAAGGGATCCTATTGAAATCGGCGACAAAAGGAATCCGATTGACATTCTCAACAAAATTATCCTGGCGAAGGACCCAACCATATGCAATTGTGAATAACGCTGTGTGGGTGCCGCTTTCGGTGGGGCTCCTTATGGGGCCACGAAAGGCGTGCCACGAAACGCTGTCCTGGGAGTACGGGGCGCATGAGGGCGGTAGCACTGGGGCCTTCGGTGGACCTCCCTATGGGGCCACGAAGCGTGTGAGGGGTGTGCCGAAATGGGTGCGGCGCCGCCATGCGAACGCAGCCACTGGGGCCTTCGGTGGAGCTCCCTATGGGGCCACGAAGCGTGTGAGGGGTGTGCCGAAATGGGGTGGGCGAGCGCCGCATGCGAACGCAGCCACTGGGGCCTTCGGTGGAGCTCTCCTATGGGGCCACGAAAGTGTGAGGGTGTGGTGCCGAAACTGGGTGGGCGGCCCGGCCATGCGAACGCAGCCACTGGGGCCTTCGGTGGAGCTCCCTATGGGGCCACGAAACGTGTGCGGGGTGTGCCGAAATGGGTGGTGGTGGAGCCGCTAAATGCGGTGGTGGGGAGGCCATGCGAACGCAGCCACTGGGGCCTTCGGTGGAGCTCCCTATGGGGCCACGAAACGTGTGAGGGGTGTGCCGAAATGGGTGTGCGGGACGCATGCGGGCGCACCCCTGGGCCTTCGGTGGAGCCTCCCTATGGGGCCACGAAACGTGTGAGGGGTGTGCCGAAAGGGGTGCGGCGCGGCCATGCGAACGCAGCCACTGGGGGCTTCGGTGGAGCTCCCTATGGGGCCACGAAACGTGTGAGGGGTGTGCCGAAATGGGTGCGGCGCCGCCATGCGAACGCAGCCACTGGGGCCTTCGGTGGAGCTCCCTATGGGGCCACGAAACGTGTGCGGGGTGTGCCGTGATAGTGGGAGGAGGGAGGAGGGAGGGAGGGGGCAGCGGGAGGAAGGAAGGAAGGAAGGAAGGAAGGAGGGAGAGGAGACGCGGGGCACCGTCTCTTCAAAACGAGGACCCAACACCACAGGATAGTTGGGAAAAAATCCCATTGAAATCGGCTGCAAAAGGAATCCAATTCAAATCGGCCACAAAGGGAATCCGATTGAAATCCTTGCAAAAGGGATCCTATTGAGATCGGCTGCAAAAGGAATCCGATTGAAATCTGCTATAAAACGAATCCGATTGAATCCTCCACAAAGAGGAATCCTTTTGAAATCAGCTGTAAAAGAAATCCTGTGGAAATTCCCCACAATAGGGATCCCATCGAAATCGGCTACAAAAAAGGTTTGAATGAAATCCGAGCCGAAAAGAATCCCATTGAAACCGGCTACAAAAATAATCAATGGAATTTCTCATAAAAAAGGAAGGAGGGAGAGGAGGAGGAGGAGTAGGGCGGACATAAGGAGGAGGAGGAGGTGGAGGAGGATTCAGAGAATATTACCCTGTGACGTACCTAACCCTTTCTATAGATGTGGCGGTTATACTCAGGACCACTCAGTGCTGACTGGCATCCGGAAGCTGCCCGCAGTGCGCAAGAAGAGCACCCAGCAGTGATTTCAGAAGAGCGCAGCAAGAAGAATAACGGCAAATATACAAAATGGAAGCACAGGGGCGTTGAAAGAAACGCGCCTAAACAAGGAACACAAAAGGGCGCGGCGGCGAGGGCTAAAACAGAGCATCAGTTTAACTCAGCAACGCGCTGCGCTGAGCGGGGCAAGTGCATGAGGTGCATAACGGGGGTGGAGAGTCATCCAGAAGTAGAGACAGAAGGGCGCGGCAGCGAACCCAAAAAGAAACACCCAAGCACGGCACGGTGGCGGGATGGGCCGAAGGCCAGTAAATCCGCCGCCCCCTGCTTGCAGGGGTGCACGGCGTGCTGGACGAGCTGTTAGGTTTTGGTTTTGGTTTTTTTTCCCAAAGAACTCCCCAGTGGGCTCCGGCAGAACCCGCCACCGTGTGCAAAAACGGCCGTTTCGCTCGGGACATCCTCAAAAAATCGCGAAGATGGCCCAAGATGGCCTCCAAGTCCGCCCGAGATGGTCCAAGACGGCCTCCAAAACGGCCCAAGAGAGTCCAAGACGGCCCAAGACGGCCCAAGAGGCCCCCCAGAAGCCTCCCAGACGGCCCAAGAGGCCTCCAAGAGGTCCTCCAGGAGAGTCCGAAGAGGGCAAAATCATTGATTTTCCATTGGTTTTTGAAGGATTTTGGCATTTGCGCCTTTTCGGCTCTCCGACGGCTCAAGACGGCCCAAGAAGCCGCCAAGATCGCCCAAGAGGCCCCCAAGAGAGCCCCATGATGGCCCAAGTGGCCTCCAAGATGGCCCCTAGAGGGCCCCAAGAGGGCCCAAGAGGCCTGCAACACGCCCAAGATGGCCTCC